TTCAACGGACCTTTAGAGCTATCTCAAGTGATAGGTTCTTAGATGAATACGGCCTTCAACCTTGCGTAGTCAAGCTGAATTGATAAGTGTTGTGTAACCATTTATTGAGGTTACTTCGGTCGGCCGGTTGTGTTCCGTGTGGCTAATTCTTGACTGAAGCTTGTTGTAACCATGGCTCACATCGTCGATATGCGGTCGGACACGGTGACGAAGCCCACGAAGGCCATGAAACATGCGATGGTGAACTCTGCGCTAGGGGATGATGTGTTCGGAGAGGACCCCACAGTAAATGCTTTGGAAACTAAGATTGCTGCCATGCTGGGCAAGCAGGCAGCTCTGTTTGTGCCTTCTGGCACTATGGCTAATCTTATTGCTGGTAAGTTATTATAATACTTAGATTTTGATAAAATCTAAGTATCTTTGTGTGTTGTGATTTCTTGATGGAACTCCATATTATAAGTATTAAAAAGTACATTTTGATCCTGCGACTCTGAGCTAAAATTCAGAAAGTTTTATAAAATCATGTATGGAAATCCGCAACACTTGTATCATATTTTCTACTACTCAAACTTGTTATATAACCTTTTTACATTAGTTAAAATATTCATGACTTTCAATTATCATCCAACTGATTTTGAAAAGTTTTGTTTCACCATCTTCAGGCAGTCTTTAATTTATCTTTAAATCCAAGTAATTATTAAAATCTTTCATTTTCAGTGATGGTTCATTGCAGCAGAAGAGGATCAGAAGCTTTGGTTGGAGATTGTACTCATATCTTCAAATATGAACAGGGTTTGTTTCTTTGAAAAATATTTTATTTATCATACAGAATGTTAATTTAAATGTGTGCCATAGCTTAAGGGTAGGTTATCATAAGAGGATGATGTAAAAAAATGATTTTGACTCAAATACCTTTATCTCCGCCAAGATTTGTTCATACTTAAAGTTGATTAGATGGAAGTACTTGTGTGGGCACTCTCTAAATGGCAAAATAAGCAAAAAATTTATTGAAATTTTGTTTGTGGCTAACGTTTTTTTTCTATATTTTTCTGTTTGATACTTGATATACCCTAAAGCTGAGAAGAAGAAGAAGAAGAAGATACCCTAAAGCTTGACATTAATTAAGCATGGTTAATTTTATAATTTAAATGAGTTTTTCGTAAATAAGTTCTAATTTCTTTGTGTATTTTGACATCGTAATTATCTTGTATCAAAATGTTTTAATAATTAATTAATTGTTTTTGGATAATCTTTGCTATTGTACATCCGCAATGGATACACTGTTGTGACTTAAAATTTGTTCTATAAGACAACCTACACAGTGAACAATAAAGAAATATTGTATTGTATTGTATTGCTATGGCAGGCATGGCACACATATAAATTAACATCCTGTACACTATTTACTCATCTGCTTTACATTATTCACAAAAGTCTTATTATTCAAATCGTAATATTCATTATCTAAATTCCATTTCTAGGTGGTGCATCTCACTTAGGTGGTGTACTAATAAGCACTCTGAAGAACAAGCCTGATGGGACCTTTGACCTGGCTGAAGTAGAAAAGAAGATACGTGGTTCAGACATCCATGAACCAATCACATCATTAGTCTGTGTGGAAAACACACACAACTATTGCGGTGGTAAGGTAATATGAAATGAGATCATGTCATTGAGTTAGTCTACCAAGAAAAAGTAAATTTGAATACCACATTTAAAAAAAATGGACTTTATGAATAGTCTCTGTTAAATTGTAATTCACTTGAACTTGTACCAGTAAGAAAGTAATATCCCTTTTAAGGCAGATTCCTCAAAATGTGTTTAAATGGATAAATCCTAGTTTATATTATAGAAAGTTCTATTCTATCCTCATAAGTCATCATCATCTTCCTGCCCTTATCCCAATTACTTGGGGTCGGCGCAACACGTTTTGTTGAACACAAAATCGTGTTGCAAAGGATTTGGCTTAATTTTGCGACCGGCCGCCTACCAGACGTCAACCCAACAATGCTTTTGTGGTGAATTAACCGCCACCATACGGTTGGCCCTGGCTGTTTGGGTCGGGTTTATCCCTCGGTCGCCTCTTACGACCCCCACGGGAAGAGAGGGGGTGGTGCTATTCTACTCTGCCGGCACCACACGGCTATCTGCCGGCACCACACGGCTACTATTCTATCCTCATAAGTATAGGGCTCCTAATGAGATAATCAACATCTGTGGTTCTCCCTTCAGTCATCAGTATTTTAATTAATTTTCCAGGTGCTACCACTAAAATGGTTGGACGACCTATCCACCCTCTGCAAGAAGCATTCTTTACCTTTGCACATGGACGGCGCTAGGCTGTTCAACGCGTGTGAATACCTGAAGGAATCCCCAGCGAGGGTGGTGCGAGATTGTGACAGTGTGTCAGTTTGCTTCAGTAAAGGACTGTCGGCGCCAGTCGGCTCCGCGCTAGTGGGCTCCTCCTACTTTATACAGCAGTAAGATATTTGTTTTAAGGTTACCATGCATCATTATTATAGCATCATCATTCCCGTGGCCTTTGCTTGCAGGTGCTGGGGTAGCTTTCATTGTATATTCAATTATAGTCTTAGTTACTATTTAATCTGAAGTAATGAGTGCCAAAGTACCGATGACGAAAGGTTCAAGTTGTATCACATTCAATTCGGATCGTAAGGTATGGCAGTGTCCACACGACAACCTTTTAGTAGACTACCTATAAATTGGTATAAACCAGTGTCCTATTTTGCGAAACTACAGGCTACAATTCTACAGGCGAAATTCGATGTACGTACATTGCGTAGCCGGTTTAATTTTAGGATAATAATGGCTAACCGTCTACGCAATTTACATCGAATTTCGCCTGTAAAATTGTAGCCTGTACTGTAGCATCGTTGCATAGGCCACAGACGGAGAGACCTTGCCTTTACTTACCAAAATTAGAAAAATGCTGTAAAAAAGTTTTTTATTAATTCCAGGGCTCGTCGTATCCGCAAAATGTTGGGCGGAGGGATGAGACAAGCTGGAGTGATAGCTGCAGCCGCCATAGTGGCGTTGGATGAGGTGGTCCCACTTCTGTCGCTGGACCACAAGCGAGCCTTCAGATTAGCAAAAGGTTAGTCAAATAGCTATTAAAAATTTTGTCCCACTGCCGACTATTTTATTTCGAAAAAATCAATCAACTACTGCCTATTTTATTTTAAGAAATTAATGTAAGGCGATTATGTACCTAATATGAGACGCCTAAGGAACTCGACAGCCTCAGGATGGCAACCACTTCTACACCTAATCAAGTCGGCGCTGATGCGTATCAGACTACTTAATAGTTAATACGTTTAGAAGAGAAATGAGGCGATATCTTATGCTCTTATAACCGACTGGCAAAGAGGATCTTTTCACGTTGCCTAATCTTCATTTCCAATTTCCGTATTCCAGTGATAGAGGGTCTGCTTCTGAAGACGTTCTCCGTTGACGTGGACAACCAGCACACCAACATAGTGCTGGTGAAGATCGCGGAGAAGAGCAAACTTACAACTGACGATGTGCTGCAGAGGTTAGCACAGGTCTCACTAGCTGAAACACAGGTAAGTATTATATAGCGTGAAATTTTACTAGTGACTAATAGCGAATACTCAGAACTGGCTGGTGATAAGGAACAACTGTCCCCAATGAACATAGGTCGTATATAAAACACAAATTTGGCCTTCCCGACCTTCAGCAGACTTTTCAATTTTTGAGAATAATATTGCGCTGTGAGTGCATTAAAAATTCCAATACATTAGTATGTTAATTATCCAAATTTTTCATTCATCAACCGATATACATACGAATGGGAATAATACATTGTTCAGTTATAAGAACCGGTTGGCCCCTTGAAATAAGTTCAGCATTCCTTATTTTCCTAGACATTCCATTTGAACTTGTCACCCAACATCCATTTCTATATTCTCTGAACATTCTCTGTAACCTTGTCACCCAGGGCGACTGCAAGACTGAAGACGACCAGGGCGTGATAGTGAAGGGCATCAACTTCAACAGCAAGACGCTGCGGCTCACGCTGCACCGGGAGATCAGCGACGAGGACCTGTGGCTCGCCATCATGAAGATCACCTACGTCTTCAAGGAGCTGGATGCCAAGTGCTAGTCGGATGACGGAAGGGGTTTGGGAACAGGGGGTAAAAGGTCCACCCTAAGAGTATATACAGGGAGTAACAAAAATGGTATTACAAGCCGAAAGGAGGTGAAGGTACTCATGAAAGTGAACAACTTTCCCCATGGAACATGGGTCAAAATATAAAAAATGGACCTCCTATACAAAATTGCGGATCAGCTAATTGATTTACTATGGGAGGACCAAATTTTATTTTCGTATTCAACCCATCTTCCATAGGGAAAGTTGTACGCCGTCGTCGGCTAGTCGGATGCCGAAAGGGGTTTGTTGGACCAAGGGTGTGCAGATAAAAAATATTCAATCGAAATGTGTAGTAAATACTTAACGTCAGGAAAGGCCACGTGCGTGACAATCTATCTATCCTTGTCACACTTAGATGAATTTCATATTTATATTCTGCTCTAAGATGACGTCTGATTTTCATTTGTCGATTGACGCTAAAAATTTACTGCACATTTTGTGATGGACATTTTCGTTTGAATATTTTTAACGCGTATTACCTGCACCTGACCAGGGCAGTAAAAAGCTCTACCAGTCCACCAGTGGACCAATTAATAGACTACGGGCTTGGGAGTGAGAATATAAAGTGTTAGCGAAATAAATATCGCAAAATATATCGTGGCCTATGGAACTGATTAACTTACTACTACTACTACAACTTTTTAGGGATTTAATAATCTTGAGATTTTGTTCGGTTAAGGCAGAGTAAACCCACGAGCGTTAATTTTGTACTACTATGTAAACGCGACAAGTTTCGTTTAGTATAACTAAACGATACAAATTAAGACTATGCTCATAAATTGAAAATGAGAAAATTGAAAAATTCACTAGCGCCCGCCGGGACTTAAACCCGGGACTGCGGATCACCGCTCCACCGCTCTACCGACTGAGCTACGGGCGCCTAGCGGACCCTGGTGAACTTTTCAACCTCTTGATGCTCGTCTCGCAGCGACGATCTTTTTTCATTTTTAGGGTTTCGTAGTCTACTAGAAACCCTTATAGTTTCGTCATGTCTGTCTGTCGGTCTGTCTGTCTGTCTGTCTGTCTGTCTGTCTGTCTGTCTGTCTGTCTGTCTGTCTGTCTGTCTGTATGCCGCGCCCTCATATCTTCGTCAGTTTTAGAGCTATCGACATGAAATTTGGTGAGGAGATAGATCGTCCCAAATATAGAAATGTTAAGAAAAAATTATTTTAAATGTTTTTTGGACCCCCTCCCATACAAGTGAAAGGGGGGCAAAATTTTTTTTTTCTTCTGTAATAATGAGTAGGGTATCGTTGAATAGGTCTTTTAAAACTAAGGTGAGGTTTCTTTGAAACAAAGTCACTAAAGTGTGTCTGTCACGAGATATTTGCTTTTAAAAAGGGCGTTTTTGACCCATAATTTGTTCCAGCTGTAACTTCTAAAGTATAAACGCTAAAAATTTGAAATAAATATGAAATATAGCTTACAATCTGAAGTTACAATGAAAACTATAACGGATATTGTAACCTTTAAGGTTTCAGAAAAAATGGAGTTTTTCTATTTGCGGTTGGTCATCATACTGCTGCTAACAAACCAGCAACAAAATTAAGTTTGTAATGCTGAAAAACCTGATATTTAAACGTTGACTACGAAACCCTATTTGTGGGCGTGTCTGACACGCTCTTGGCCGTTTTTTTCTCATTTTCAATTTATGAGAATAATATTGCGCTGTGAGTGCATTAAAATTTTCAATACATTAAGACTATGCTACTCACTCTAGTTATAAGGTGCCATGTCAATAATACTTTAAGTACCTATCTAATGCTATCTACATGTTGTTATTATAATATTGATATTTTATTTATAATATACAACGGTGTTATCATTATCAAATACAATAAAATGCACTTTTCTATTAATCAAGCAGTTTGTTTATATTTTTCAATTGATTTTTACAAAACAACGTTACAAAGAGTTTCCTATCTCGCTTACACAAGTAACCGAGTAACAGAAAGAATGAGACAGGCTTTAGAGCCTTATCATTTCACACAGTATCAGATTTGCGAGCGGATGCGCAGCGAATACGTTTTGGTCGCGCTTCAAATGGGAGTTTTTTGGAGAAACTAAACCGCAAGATGGCGTTGTACGCTGCCATAGACTAATATGGAATAAGTGTCAAAATTTGACAGCTAATCCCTTTAAGTCTATGGAGGCGTACAACGCCATCTCACGGATTAGTTTCTCCAAAAAACGCCCATTCCGGTATTTGTACAAAAACGTTGCGAATCCGCTACGAATATGCTGCGCATCCGCTGGGCGTCCGCTTCGCTCTACATACGCTCGCAAGCCGCTCATAAGGCTCTTAGTCATATCGCTGATAAGATTACATTGTGATCTTGAATTTTGCGTAATTAAATACTAGTAAATGATAAAACTAACAATAATAAAGCACTTGAGCATTTAAATTGCTTAGAATTTACAACAGATACGTTTTATTTGTGATATTTTGTTTTTAGTGACTGTTTTCTAGTTTCAATATACAATTTTACATTTTTGTTTTCTAAACTACAAAATGTAAACCTATCTTAATGAGTTCCCTAGCATTGCATATTCCTATTAACAACCTGTACATTTTTCAAGTAAGTACATAAACTATGACTACTTATCTGTAAATATAAATTATCCTTTTTAATAATACGAAGGATTAAATTTGATTAGGTTTAAAACCAAAACATGCCAATAATATAGGAACATAATATAGTTACTTACAAAACTAATTTAAAAACTAAAATAAAAAGAATTGGTTGTGTTAAGAGTCTTGATGTTCTAGGTGTAACAAATCGGGACACAAACGTACAATATAGTACTTGTAAAGATACATCTATCCATGTACTGCCTCGATTATATTTTAAATTACACATAACAGGTTTTAAAAAAAATTACAGCAAATATTTTAACGGGTGTAAAGGTGCGTACGGACTAGAGGCAGCCTCGCCTGAGGCACGCAAGGCTCGCCCTGTTGCCTCAGGTGCGTACGTGCCTCAGCCCGAGGCGCGCCTCGCGCGAGGCTGCCTCACCGCGAGCCATTCGGTGTCGGTTTTTTGGCTGTGCTCAAAGGCGCCTCGGCGTACGTGCCTCGCAAGTTTGGACGTGATTTGAGCACGGTTTTAGCGAGTCACACAGTTCTTTCTCTTTTTTGAGGTTATTTTATTTTACATCTGTGTCATAGATTGAAATCAGATTGGAAGTTCATATTATTTCTGCTATCAAATAATTATAAGCCATTGTCCGAAAATGGTCAATTGGAGTAAGGAAAATGAACAGGTTTTTTGGAATCCCCGCGATGAAAAGTAGTACGATAAGAATGTCAAAAGAGATGCATGGGAAAGATTAGCAAATAAACGCAGCGGCAGCATGGGTTTTGTTCGACGCCATGGTTTGTCGTGCGTGGATAATAGTAAAATGGCGAAAGACGCCGACGACGCAGAAATACGAGTGAATCAGCTGTTGATCTGGCGCCATCTTGTCGCGCCTGGCTCGACCCGAGGCAGGTTGCCTCAGTCTGCTGCCTCATGTTGTTTACCGAGGCAGCCTCTACACGAGCCGTGCGTGGCGAGGCTGCTCAACCTGAGGCTGCGCAACCTTTACGGTTTTTTTTTCGTATTTCGACTTATTTTTTAAAGGGAAAGTTGTTCAGTTTCTTGGACGGGTTCACCGTTTGAAATATTTGCAGTATTTTTTTACATACTGCGATTCGACGAACGACCCGGCAAACCGCCCTGTCAGTTTTTCTACCGCCTACTAATATTAGTAGGACGAGTAAACCCTTCACATGATTTGTACTAAGTCTGATATTTATCCCGAATCGAGATTATTATTATTCATTTCGTTCCACACCCTGATCAGTTCATCGTGATCTGAGTATCCATGGGAAGCTATAACGTCCCTATAACCTTCTTTACTATACTTTTTCTTGTAGAAGTATATCCCAGGACAATGAATAGGTTTTATTCCCACTTTCTTTGCCACGATGGCCAAGTAAATGTCGTCGAATCTGAAATGTTTCACGTAAAAACTACCAATGTACAGTTCTTTCATGGATAAGTTTGAAACTATGTAAGCTCCGGCGGTTACGTACGGTGGCCAGCGGTCCCACGCGTATTCATCTAAGGACACCCGCCACTTGCTGGTTTTGAACCTCTGCGGCGTAGATTCGAAGAGATAACCCGCAAACAGTCGTTTGTCTCTTTCTGTCTCGTTGGTCTCGACTACGCTGTTGCTTCTAGAGTCAGTCTGCTCGTGAACATATTCCAGAAGATTAGCAACCGAAATGTACATGTCATCGTCGGTAAACAAGTAGAAATCAGCTGTGGAGCAGTGCTCGAATACCCAGCGAAACGACATCATAGTCTTGATGGTGTTATTGAAATAGCTGTCGTGAAAATTCATTTGAATTATATCTTTGTACTTCAACATTTCTTCTTCAATTAGAAACTGAGTTTTCGATTTCGGAGACTTGTCGTCTATTCCGAGGAAAAACAGGATTTTAACTATTGTACCTGGGATCAAATTCTCTTGTCCGTATGTTTGTCTTATAGCATCGCGATGTCCAAAATGGTCCATAGCAGATTTGACTACAATGAACAGGTCTAACTTCTCAATAGTATTGCATTTCCCTGAGTTAGTAAGGAACCTATATGGGTAGACATTGATAGCTTTTGTAGTAGGTTTTTTGCCTGCCAGTATATCTTTTATGATAGGCTTTAGATCAATGTTCATAGGGTAGTCAAATCCATCATCAAAGTTCTTAGCGTGTAAATAGTCACCAACTCCAAAGAAGTTATAGATGCACAAAAGCATAAGAGCTATCACCACATATTTATACCTTCGTTTCGGCATATTGAAGTCTTTGAGATTCACTTTATCGTATCTGATATCACTGTTCACTTTATATAAGGTCTTCATAATACTTTCACAATGTCTTCATAAGTTGAGACAAATATTTTTCGCGATTCTACCTGAAAAATACGATATTCAATTTTAGGGAATACATATAACTGCATTGAGAATAAAAAAAGGCACAATATGTGAACTAGAAAAATGCTTATAATTTTATTGTTGACATTTAAATATGATAAATTGATTTAATTGCTAAACATTTATTTGTAGAATCAATAAAAAAAGTTACTTCTTATTAAATAATTTATTTATGAAAAAAAGTTACATAGAAAATATGTAGCAAAATATATGAAAATATAAGTAAAATAAAATTTTGTCAGTCATTTCATTATTATAATAGTTGTAATCAATCATCCATCACCTTTGAATGTTATTTGGGATGCCAACCAATACCTAAAACAAAGAAAAATAATCTTTTAATATTGTATAATCTTTGTTTTAGGTATTCAAACATAAATTGTGTAGCAAAAAGCTTGTGCTTTGAAACTAAATAACATTGGAAAAAACGGGCAATCAGCTGCTTTTCAGGTTCAGGGTAAAATCTATGCAACTGAATTTGGTTCAGCAGTTTTAGTAGATAAACAATTAATTAATACTTATAAAACAAAATGAGACATAACATGAGACAGTTTGTGCAGATTTTAATGAAACTTATTTCCAAAGAGGGTTGAAGTCAGGCAGGCGGCCAGTTGTAAAACATTCCCAAGTCCTTTTGCTACATGATTTTTTGCTTTGAAAAAAATATGTTGTGCCGACCCCAACTGATTTGGGGTAAGGGCAGAAAGATGATGATGTGACGCAATAGTTTAAATACTAGTAAATGATAAACTTACCGCTTCACAAGGAAGTGTCCACTGTGGAGCTGATGCACACGGGAGGCAGGTAGTGGCTGCGGATGTGACTGTGCAGGCGGGCCACCTCTGAGTCCAGGCTCTCCATTTCGCGGACCACCTGGGTAAACTGGACTACACCTGGAAATAA